AGGTTGTATAAATTAGTTACTCTAAAATGATGTGGTGGGTTAACCCTGACTGGACACCAGGTGCCCACCAAAGCTGCTCTATCACTCCCTCTCCTCAACTGGGCAGGGGAGGGAAAATGTAACAAAAGGCTTGTGGGTCAAGATAGGGACAGGGAGAGACCACTCACCAGTTACCATCATGGGCAAAACAGACTTGAGTTGGGGAAGTTAGCTTAATTTACTTCCAATCAAATCAGAGTAGGATAATGAGAAATAAAATCTTGAGCCCCTTCCCCCCCCACCCCTCCCTTCTTCCCAGGCTGAACTTTATTCCTAATTTCTCTGCCTCCTCCCCACCAGTGGTGCAGGGGGACAGGGGTTGGGGGTCGCAGTCAGTCCATCACCTGTTGTTTCTGCTGCTCCTTTTTCTTCAATGGGAGGACTCCTCACACTCTTCCCCAGCTCCAGCGTGGGTCCCTCCCACGGGGTGCCATCCTTTAGGCACAGACTGCTCCAGCGTGGGTCCCCCACGGGGTCACAAGTGCTGCCAGCAGTCCTGCTCCACTGGGCTCCTCCCTCCATGGGCCACAGGTCCTGCCAGGAGCCTGCTCCAGCCTGGGCTTCCCACGGGGTCACAGCCTCCGTCAGGCACATCCCCCTGCTCCGGCGTGGGGTCCTCCCCGGGCTGCAGGTGGGTCTCTGCTCCCCCATGGACCTCCCTGGGTGCTGCACCATGGCCTGCAGGGGAATCTCTGCTCCAGCATCTGGAGCGCCTCCTCCTCCTCCTCCTTCACTGACCATGGTGCCTGCAAAGTTGTTTCTCTCACATCCTCTCTCTTCTCTGCTGCAGTTGCTGTTGTGGAGGTTTTTTTCCCCGTTTCTTAAATATGTTATCTCAGAGGTGCTACCACCATCACTGATAGGCTCAGCCTTGGCCAGCAGTGGGTCAGTCTTGGAGATGACTGGCATTGGCTCTGCCAGACATGGGGGAAGCTTCTAGCAGCTTCTCACAGAAGCTCCACCCCTGTAGCCCTGCCACTACCAAAACCTTACCACGCAAACCCAATACAAATGGGGTACCAGATTTGACGTTTAGCCTATGCTTCTGCCAGTGTATGCAATCCCACTTTAGTTTTCTCTCTGTTAAACAGTCTTCTATTGTTTGAGGCATCAGGGCATTTTAGCATGACCTGTTTGGTCTGTAAGAAGTCTTCTGGATTAATGAATAAAATAGTTTTATTTTGGATTCTGCAAATTTAAATCTAAACTTTAAGGTCATATTCGGCTAAAATTGAGTTTTTCATTATACCTAGTGAAGCCATGTATTGGAAGACACAGAAAGAGGTGTCATGATGTGTATCATGATAAGCTTGCTGCTGCTTTTGTATTAATGTTTGTTCAAAAGCTCTTGGTGTATTTTCCTTTTGTGGTTGATAGCGGCCATGTTTATTGAAAGGACTGATCATGAAAAATATATGCAATATAATCATCAAAAGTAAGCTCTCTTGCTTTGTAGTGCAGGCTGTGTTGCTGGTACCCTGAGCGTTCATCAGTAGGTGGTACTATAATACAAGATACAAGTATACCACAAACCTATTTCCAAGGATTTACATACATCAGTGTACTGACCTGTGGCAGTTTAAATTGCCTTGATTTTATAAAGCTGTGAATACACAATACAATCCGTAAAATTGGTGTAGTTCTGTTTTGGCAGCGACAGATAGTCCCTGGATATTTTGGCGTATTTTCTCTATATTCAAGTGGCCTGCTTTTTCAAATGCAGCCTTGTATATTCCTTCAAATAGAGAGGTAGCTTGTTTGTGCACAGCAGGTACAATGTGCTTCTTTCCTGTTCATGCCTTGATCTTTGCCTCTCTATTCATGTGTCCAGAGCTCTGGGGAGAAGGTCTCCATAGGAAGGTGAAGATGTAGTTATTTAGGGAGTGAATTTATAGGACACAGAGTAATTCCACACGGACTTCTTCTAATGTGCCTGTGTGGAAGTGACTTGTAGTACCCTGAAACCGGAGTCACTTGCATTATCTGTGTGACTTGTGAAGGCAGAATGAACCTTGGGACATCCCCCCTCCAAGCTGGCCAGACATGAGCCAGATCCATTCTGAAATCCTTATTTCAGTAGTAGCGCTGTGCTGTGCTGGGCTTACAATTTCTAATTTCTCTGTGTGGACAGAGCCAGTGCAAGTCTGTATACAAAAGGCTATCTTAAGCATCCTCAAGTGTCCCCATAGAGATGGGTGGTGGATTACATACAGTATTCATTCATGTTCTAGTTTCCTGCCTGTTAATGTCTGAGTATAGGGAGAAAGCCTCCTAAACATTACTTTAATGTATTTTGGAAATGTAAAAATATGTGATGTCTTATGAAAAATAATAGTTACATTTGAAAATATATTCCTTACATTTGAAAATATATTCCTTACATTTGAAAATATATTCCTTACATTTGAAAATATATTCCTTACATTTGAAAATATATTCCTTTCTGAGCCTCTCTTGGTAATTTTGGAGTTTAACAGCACCGTACCAAACCTTAGCAGTTTTCTTTAAAGACCATCATGAATTCTCTTAGATTGTTCCAGTAGGAGCTTGACACATGAGATTTATCATTTTTTATATAATGTTGATAACTTTTGTTTTCTTTTTGACGGATTTCTCATGAGATCTGTTTACAACTTTCTTTTCGTAGAAAACATAGCTATTTGTTTCTAAATAGTTTTTACCAGGTCTTTTTGAAGCATTTGTGTTGGGAGTCCTTGTAGTGTCTTTTGGCAACTTGTAGATGTCATTTGAAGATCATTTCCATGATACTTAAGAATTTGTCTAGGCTAGTTCCTTGTTATGTTTCTCATCCAGTCATTTCGTACTTAACCTTTCTAACATTTATGAGTTTTGGAACCACATTCGTAAACTGTTGTGTTACTTTCTTTGCAGTTCTTTGGTAGTAAGTCTTTTTCTTCATATCCAACACGTTAATAGATTTTACAGCCATTTTGTATCAAAGGCTTTTGTCACTATTGATTTTTAAAACCAAGGGTGAATTTAGTCTTCATGTTGCAGAGTTTGCTCCTGTGGTCTGGCACAGTGGAATACATTTGTATTTGGATAGTACACTGTTACAATACTGAAATTTGATATTTTAATTATATGCAGTTTTGGTTTCAAGTACGTTGCTGTGATGAATCATGAGCATTTATTAGCTGAGAAAAATTCTCTTGCTAGCAGCCTGAGCTATGTATTCACATTCCTCTTTCTTGGAACTGAGTGGCTGCCAGAAGTTTGCCTGATTATCTGCTTGCTTTGTAAATCCTCACCTCTGGAAGCACTTACTGACAAAAAGAGGGCAGGTATCACAGGCCTGCTGTATTTTTTAGGTTGGAAACATTGATTATAAGCAAATGAACAAGATAGATAGTATTTATGTTTTTAAATGCAAGGATTTCTCAGGTAAATACAATTTCAGTCAACCGGTATTTTAAGAAAATCAAAGCAAGTGATCTTCTTTACAATGGAGAAAAGAGGTATGGTATTTAAAAACTGAAAAAGCTTATAGGATTCTTCTTCCAAAAATCCAGACAATTCTACCTATTCATGATGATACTGTTTATTGCCTTCAGGCTGTCTCAGTGTGGAAGACATCCCTAGTCAAGATTTTAAAAATCTTGAAAGCTATCCAAACAAAAAAAAAAGTTTTGTTCAGATGTCGGGTAGATTTTTATTTTTTTTTCCCCCTTTTTTTTCACCAAGTACAGAAGATTGATATCCAGTAGATTATGTTGCTAGACTGATGGGTAAGGAATGCTTGGGGCTTTGAATGCCTGCCTAGGCCTCTGTTCCTTTTGGAGATCTCTTAAGTATACTGGATATTCTTTGAAGAAGTATTTTATGTAGGCTTAATAGACAATGTAAGAATATAAAATAAGATATTCTTTATAAAAATATTAATTATAAAGACATATAATTTAAAATGTAAATCAAGGAAAGTAAGTTTTATCTTGTGCTAAAAGAATATTGTCCATGATTTACTACTCCAGCTGCTTACAAAATTTGTCTTTTCTAAGTATGTGTTTGGATGCAAATTTTAATAAATGCAAGTTATAAGAGACCAGTGAGACCTCTGTTTTTAATAATGAGTGGTTCTCTTTTTGTCATAGTTACCATATTGTCTGCTGTATTTCTTCCATAATGGTATTTACATTGCTATAGAGTTAAATAACTTTCCTGGAGACATTTTTTTATTCTTAAATCTTGTCTCTTTATATGATGGTGATTTCGATCTCCCAATTAAAGGAAATTACAAAACCAGTTCATATGTTTGTTGCATGAGACAAATTTACTGAGTTGTAGAGTATGCCACTGTGTGAAAAGCTGTAAGCCAGTCATTTTCCTTTGTCTGTACTTAAAATTCCAGTTGCTGTCTAGTTACAGACTGTGAGTTCTCTGACAGTCTCCAAACACTTAGACTTAATTTCTGTGCCAGTTAGCTTCTATATAATTTAAATCTAAATATAATTTAAAGTTTCTATATAATTTAAATTTAACATGAAATAATTTTGAAAATATTTTTCTGCTGTCTGAATTTTCTCTCCATATTAATTTTCTTCAAGGAAAAGCACTAGAACAGGCCAGTAAATACGAAAAGGACCAACATGTGTTACTGCCAGTTATAAACTCAAATATTGATGAATACTGACAGGTAGATACCACAACTGAACTAATACGTTGAGGTAACATCAGTTTTTTTGCAAGTTACATTCTATTTTTTCTAATCTTTTCCACATAGCTATATGAGAAATAGCTTTTAGGAGGAGTATAACAAACATATAATTGAACATAAAAAAACTTGGTTTTACGTTATTTGTGAATATTTAAGAACATATTATTGGGTTTGATTCTTTTGCAGCATTAATAATGATTATTCATGTAATCACCATTATTAAAAAGCCTCAGAAATCAAGTTACTAAGGAGGAAAAAAGTAAAATGCTTATTTTTCCTTTATTAGCAACCAACTTCTGTAGCCACATCTACTGTCCGCCTAGGACTTCCAGTGCAAGCCAAAGTTGTTCAGTCAACTGGTACATCCGTCAGTGCTACACCTGCTGCGACACTGCCAGGAGGCTCTGTTCTTTCACATACCACGGTAAGGAGTGAGAATGTAAAAAGCAAAAGATAGGTGAAGAAAAGGATGTTTGTAATTATATGTTCTTTCAAAAATGAATTTTAATGTTCATATGTGTGCTTTATCGCAAATGTAATCCCAGAAATTAATAATGAATGTGTAGTCAGACTGTGTTATGCAGGTGCTGAGTGATAGCCTAGATCTTATTTTCTACTCTTTCTAGATGAGAAACAATTTGGGGGTAGTTAAGCTTTTTCTTTTAAAAAAAACCCCAAACTTGTATCAGCTGGATTTATAAATACTGTTTCAGTGGTGGACGTGCTGCACTATATTTGTCCTGTGTTGAGAGCTGTGGTATGTGCTGTGTGGTCCCCAGTGCTGCCAGATCCAGGGCATCACCTGTGGCGTGGCAGTGCAGGTGCCTGGGTTAGCTTGTACTGCATCTGTGCCCGAGACAGGGCAATGCTCTGCAGTCATGCGGATTTGGAGGTCCTGGTAGCTCCCACTCAGCCTGTTACGCTGTGGGGCTGAGCTCTCTAGCTTCTGCAGTCCTGTGTGGTGTGTGTCTGCGTGAGACTTTTTGGCACTTGGAAGAGTGGCCTACTAGGTCAGCTAAAGTGTGAGAGCTGAACTGGAAGGGGCGGTGTGTGTGCATGTGGTGCTCTGTGCAGCCTGATAAGCTTTCCAGCCTTCTAAGGCTGAGGAGTGTGCAGCACGGTCTTTGTGTGTGCCACAGCTAGGTCCAGGAAGTTTTATTTGCTAGGGCTGTACACTGCATATATGCTGCTTCTAGGCACAGATTAGGTTGGGAAGCTGTGTTAGTGCGTTTGTGTCATCTGGATCTGAACTGTCACTGTAACTGAGGTATAGATAATTGTAAACCTGATGACATGACCACAAGCAGGGGGAACTGACTTTTCTGTATTAAGGGCCAAATTTACAGAAAGCTGAGTTACAGAAGTCTCATCATCATGGTGATCTTAAAGGCAATAATAGCAACTCAGTTTTTGGTGGTACATTTATTTTGGTAGTAAAAAGAAATTTAAATGAGGACTTTCACTGTTCAGTAAAGGATGACAAAATTAGGGTTATAATAAGTAAAAATGGTTTTACTTTGTCAGTAAGGGTGTATTTGAAAGGAAACAAGTGGTTTTTTTTCAGGTTGAGTAAAAGAATTAAAGGAAGATAGTTACCTTTGTTTTTCAATGTGAAATATTAATAGGTATCAGTAGCTATGACGAGCACTCAAAATTTATTCAAGACAACAGTAGCAACTGGAACATCAGCTTCTCAACAACCTGCAGTAATTACTGGTGGACAAACTCAAGCTTCAGCACAAAACCAGGGTCAGCCCCGGCTGCCGCTTCCACCTCATACAACAGCACAAGTACCAGCACAGCCCCAGGTCATACCAAGCTCTCCTGTACCTGGAACTACAGTTGTATCACAGGTAAGTTTTGAAATACTAGATACTTGGTTTTCTTAGTACTTTATGAACTTCTCAGGTCTGTTCAGAAGCTGAAGGAACTTCATGCAAGCACACTTTCCGTGGTGGAACAAATGTATTGCAAACAAGAAACCCTTTCCCTCATCTCAACTAAATGGGATACAGATTTTGAGAAGGAGGAAGAACACTTCCACATCCTGCCATGTATGTGTCAGTAGTGAAACAATTATTCTGTTCTGTAGACAGAGCAGTCAGGCCTTCAGTCTATGGACTTCATTATTTTCATGTTGCTGGGCCTCAAAACTGTGGTTACACTCAAGTGTAAAATTTCTGTTTCTTGGAGTAATTATTCCATATAAAAATAATGGCTTGAAAAAATTAAAGCATCTGTTTTCCTACTGAGGAAGAAAATATTAGATATGATGATGTTTGAAGACTATTTCTAATTTGATTTTACTGCTGTAGTTGCTTTGTACAAAAACATACTGAATCCATAATTTAACAAATTAAGATATCTTGGGAAACATTGTATATTGGGTATTTGGCATCTCACAGGAGAATGCACCTCCAACAAATCGTTGTCTTCTCATATTTAAGGTTCTTTTTATCAAAACAGTATAAAATATTAAATATATTTCTTTCATTGATTTTTTTTTTTTGATGTTAGTGTTTGTGAGGTATGATGTTCAGTTGCATAAAGAAGTGAAGAAGGTATCAGGTAACTAGCAGCCGTTGTAAAATGGCTGCAGAAACTTTTTTAATATGTTCTGTCTGAATTAGAACAATGTTGTAATTTTCCCTATTTATAGTAATCAGAGCATGCATTGATTCTGATTGTAAAATATCATGGATCTGATATTTGTTTTCTTTGTTTTTTTTCAGGAAATGCAAGAGAATGTGAAAAAATGCAAAAACTTTTTAGCTACCCTTATAAAACTTGCTTCTCATAATTCACCATCTCCAGAAACGTCCCGTAATGTGAAAGCTCTGGTTCAAGATTTGTTGGTAAATATTTAGTTATCTTTCATTTTGTCTATTAAGCTTGTTGTTTACTTATGCTGAAAATTATTGCTTTGAGTTTAACAATATTTTTTTTTTCTGTAATGAAAGTGAAAGGAGTTGGGCTGCATCAAAATGCAAATATTCTGCATGTTACATATCTTCAAAAATCTGTTAAAGGTAGGCTTTCTCTTAGTTTCAAAAGGGGAAATATGACAGAGTATTTAGTATGCATTCATCAAAAACTTTCTTGTTTTGATGGATTATAATTTGGTCGTTTATTTAGAAAAATAGAGTAAAATACGGGATTTTTCCTTGAGGAATTGTTAAGTTTCACTTCCTCCAAACCTTGCTTTTTTCTGAAACAGTAGGAAGCTGTTAAATGTTTTAATCACAGAATGAGTTTAGATAAATGCCTCCACAAGGTGGTTTAGAATTTCTAGGACTAAAGAAAAAGTATTTTGCTAAGCTGCCAAGTCAGAGCAGTTCTGCAGATATGCCCCTCCATAGAGCCTTAACTCCGAGCATATTTCAAGAGGGAAAGTTGTGTTTCAGCTAGACAGAGTCCTTGGGCTTGGAAAAAGTCTCCAGTGCAACAGATGTTTCAGTGAATTGTATAAATGAGTTGCAGACAGATGTTACTTTCGAGCTGGATAAATGGTCAAGCCTCTTAAAAGAAATTAAATATAGTCTATGAAGAACTTGGATGTAAAAGTAGTTCATATATATTTCTTTGAATTCATTAACAGAGAAACCTGTGTATTTTAGACAAGCCTAAGATTCTTTTCAAGTATGAGCTATTGAGCAATCATATTCAGTGGTTCCAGTAAAAACTAGTTTTAACTTTTGAAAACTAAGAAAGAATAACTAAGTAAAGGTAACTACTTGTAATATTTTAAACAAAGTAATGAGTCACATATATAATAAATATGTTTATTGAAGCTTGATTTGGTTGGTTTGGTTTTCTTGTTCTGTATCAGTCCAGCAAAGCTAATGAATGTTTTTATTACGGCCTGAGATTTTAACTAATGATAAGTTCTTAGAAGCATTATAAAATACACCTGAGTTATAGAGTTCTCCTGTATTAACTACTAAATAAACTACTGGATACATATTTCATGTATTTAATATATTTATGAGTATATACAGATATATGCAGACACACATTTATATAGGTGAAAAATTTATAATTAGATGTACACTTTTAAAATATATACATATGCTTCACAAATATAATTTTAAATATATGCATACACATATTCTAGTAAGTTGAACTGAACCTTAAAAATTGGTTTTGGAATCAAGTAAAGAAATTTTCTTATTACAAGGGCTGACAAATTTTATAGTGTTTTGTGAGGTTACTTCAGCAACCTGGGTTTTTATTAATCTTTTAAAAAATAAACCACTATGTAAATGTTAACAAGAGAATGGAATCCTAAAAAAAAGACTTGAGTGTTTGTGGGATCTTGTGTCTTAAATTGTGCATCCCAAAGATCCTGAATTCTGAGTGGTATGTTACATATATAAATTAGCTCTTGACAGAAGAATTTTGCAGATATAGGAGTTGAGAAAAATTCTGCTTTGAAAGTTCTTCTTGATATGGTAGCTTATTTAGTTACACACACACACACACACACACACACATATTTTATCTGGAAAAAAAACCCCAACTACTGAACAGAATTGTTGATGCTTTTTTTTCTTTTTCCTTCCGCCTGAAGGATGCAAAGATTGATCCAGAAGAATTTACAGGCCGCCTTCAATCAGAACTCAAATCGTCTCCTCAGCCATATCTTGTACCTTTCCTTAAGGTAATGTGAATATAGTTTGGATTAATTTATTTCAGTGCAAATGTCAGTACATTAAGCTTTAGAATATACTTTTTAAATGGAATTAGATTTGCCTGTCTAGAGCAGGACTACTCAATTTTTACTTAGTGCTGACAATTTCTGATGAAATTTTCTTGGCTGGACGTCATGTGCAGGCTCCATCTCTGTCAGGCCAGGCAGGTGCTCCTTACTGCTTTCATGGTTGAGAGCTGTGGCTGTGTGCTGCAGCTGACTGTGCCCTGACAGGTTGAGAGATGGTAAGAAATAGGAATTTCCTGCAGGAGGGAGACCTTGTGTGTTTGGGGCCTTGGTTTAGGTTTAAGAAAAAAATAATCTGGAGTTTGCTGCTTGAGTAGCCCTAATCTAGAACACTGTAGTAATTAGATTTATATAAAAAAGCAGTTACTCCCTAGTCCGGAAATCATCCTTTGTCTATTCTGTAGTGATCCTTTACCGTTATAATGCATATACTTTTCTGTGGTAGTAGGTAATTTTTTGTGAAGAATTACTGCATTTACATTTGGAAGAGTCACAAGTTATTTTTACAAAATGCTTCCACTAATTTTATAAGCTTTTTCCAGATTGTTTTTGCAATCTACATGTGAGTCATTGATAATTTTCAATGCATGTGTAACAGTGATTATGAAAAGCTAAACTGGATAATGCTGTTGAAATAATTGATTAGCTGAATCCTGTTTGTAATCTGGAACTATCTATACTAGAAGTTCTAATGTGATACCAAATGGATTTACTGTTGGGTCCTATGGTAGTATACGTGCAGGTAAATTTAACTTTTAATTGGTTCTTGTATGTTAGCTACAATAGCTTCCATATGCAAGATTATATACAAACATACAAAGCCTGTTTAATTATGCCCCAACAAAACCACAACTGTAATTTTTAAAAGCATTTGTCTTCTAGTCCAAAACTTCTCAGTTTAGGGCAGATTTCCTCTCTTTCTTCTCTCCCTTTAACTTTTCTTCAGAACTCTCTCCCTCTACTTGTTTTTTCAAGTTATTATTAACCCTTATTTGTGCCTTTTCCTGTTCTTACACTGCAGTCACTTCTAGCATCATGATAAGTTTTAACTTGTTTCCTTTCTTTGAAGTCCTTTCTTGGCAACAGGCATTAAGTTTTTAAATAAATATTAGAAATTTAGAGAGAACTGTAGCTTGGGCTAAACATCGTTGCATTCTATAACTGCCTGGGGGGAGCACTTCAAAAGAACATTACTGCCACTTAAGTAAAAAATTTATTTGTGAAGGTATAGTATGGCCTTTTAGAAGTATATTTTTTGATTGAACTGGTCTGAACATGAAGGATACAATAGCATACAACTTTTCTAATCCAGTCAGAATACGTTAGATCACTAATAATACAGTAAACAGCTATTGCTTTAGGGCATCAACAGTTAAATCATCTGGTTCTAGGTACTGGAGGCATGTCAGGAGAAGTAAATTGGTGCAGCTGACTACTTCTAGAATGGGATGGGAAGAGAGTTGTTCTTATGATTATGCCTTTTCCATTTTTTGCCCTTCCAAAGACCTAAGCTACAAGTTACAGATCGTCAGGAGGAGAGTGTTACATTTTGCTGCTATCATCAAAATCTACAGGGTTGCTAAATCCAAAATGAAAGCTTATTAAAAATGTAAACTGAACATTCCCTCTTAAAAATATGTTCAATCTTAATACTTTTTGATGAATAGGCAGATAGTAAGATTGGAAAGCAAGCTGCATTCTTTTAACTCTGTTTACATCAAATTTCAAAATACTTTTTTGTCAACATGCTAAATTTGATATTTCATAAACTTTCTTCTGTTTTTAGAAAAGTCTACCTGCACTGAGACAATCTTTACTGAATAGTCAACATTCAGTTTTGCAAGGACAGCCGTCTCAGCAGTCACTTCAACAAACCAAGCTATCACAAGTTATACCTCAGTCTGCCTCTGGAAGCATTTCCTCTGTTGTCACAACACAGACAATAGGAATAAGGCAACCAAACAACATTTGCACAGTCTCTGTATCAAATACAGTGCAGCCTCCTCAGGTTAAGGTGGTACAGTCAAATCAGAGTTCTCAACTGGTAGGTACTGTAGTATAAAAGATAATTTCTTAACAAACTGAATTGCAGTTTTCAATGTTTTTTTTTATTGCAGCTTGTTTGGGAAAATACTTTTTTGTTTCTGTCATATTCTGTGATACATAGTAGTACCTCATTTTATGGCAGTTCACGTGTATGTTCAACCATTAGTTTAGATAACATAGCTTAAATTTAAGAAAGTGCACTCTTGGCCTGTTTGTCTGGAATACAGTGATTGTTATATGAGCACAGTGGAATCTGAGTTAATTACAAGTGTAGAACAGAAAGCTTTTCAAGACTTGAAGGCAAGAGTAATTTTTAGTATGTCATTAGGTATGCTGCTTTGCTTAGATTCATCTGCATTAAAATTAACTATCTCATTTTAAACTGTTCTACGCATAGTTATGAAAACTTGTACTATTTCTAAACAAAACGTGTACCAACATAGTTTGTTTAGAAATAGTACCATACTTTGTTGTTTACTGAAATACATTTTTGTTGTGCTTATTGGAGTATTATGTGCTTAGATTCAATTTCAACGGCGCTATCAACAAGGCAACTGTACAGCCAGTTACTCACTGGGAGTGTGGGGAATTTGTCCTGCTGTTACATAGAATCTTGCGTGTGTGTTCACAGTTGTAATTACAATATGTTTAGGGTTTTTACAAGACTTTGAGTTTATACAGGCATTATCATCCTTCAAGCAAAGATGTAAGAGCTTTTTGTGTGTTTTCTGTGTATGTATGAGTAAAGTGCTTGATTTGTCAATTCGGTTTTGAAACCGAAGTTCCAGAAGGTGTATCAAGTTGGTAAAAATGTCTATTATCAAGATTCAGAAATGCACCTATGATAATGTAAAACTTTACAGCGATCTGTCATTGCATTTTTAGGCTCTATAAAGGACATAAATAATTTTTAGTGTGTGTGGAGAGAGAATATTTCTTTTGCTTTAATTTTAAAAGTAGCAGTGCAGAATCTGAAAACATCTGAGCCATCTTTTGAACCTTACAAATACTTTCTAGCAGTTAAATTACTAACTTCAGCATGAAATTAATAGAATTTTATCATCCTTTAGTGAGCATAGTTTTAATGTGTATGAACATCTTAGATGCTAAGACTTCTGACTCTGGCTTTTGTAAAATACGTACAAGACATTTGGATACTTTGCACCTTAACTCTGCTGCTTTATGTTCAGCCACTTGAATTCTTTCTTTTTCTAAAAGGGATTCTCTCCACCCCTTCTGAATTGTTGTATTAATTAGAAAAGTGTTCCTCAGACTTTTTGTGACTTATTTGATTTGTATGTGTTTTGTAAGACTGAAGTTGGTTCTTCAAGGTAAGGAGGCAGGAACTCGTTTTAATTACAGACAGTAAGTGTAAAAATTACTCCCTATCCTAAGGAAAGCAAATTTCTGACAGTGGCTGACAGGTTTTTTTACAAGTACAGATGTTCATGGCCAGTAAGTCTAGCCTTATCTCATGCCACTATATTAGGACTAACCTACTGGTGAATAAAATGGCTTTTTCCAGTGCTTTGCAACCCACTTTAAACATTCCTGTAACTACTAGGCAGGTTGCATCCCACCTTTTGAGAAGCACTGATGTAGAACAAAAACATGTCAGTAAGTCCACAGGAATTCTTACTCTTACAGTTCTTATGGAATATTTTCTGAATGGGATAAAGCCAGATTTATGGGAGAGACACTTCTGTATGTCTCTCACGTGTCAATGCATGCTCAGAGCAAGCAATCATAATGTTAACCTGAGCAGAGATTAACATACCTATGCAATAGGAGGGATCTGAAGATTGCTAAACTAATATATTTTGGAGATTGATCTGATGGGCAAAAGAAGTTGTTTTTCTGTCTGGAAGGAGGGCATAGGTCTAGGACTGAATTTTCACCCTACTGGGTACATGGAACGACCACTACATTTTCAAAATGTAGTGAACTATGCAGAGCAAAACTATGCTTAATACTATTCCTTTTCTAGAAAACATTTAGGGAGAAGTTAATACATTAAAAATTATAATTTATTTGCTTTATTTCAAAACTGGCTTTCTATATTTGCTTTCAATTTATCAGTAATTACTTAATAGAACCAAACATTGCATTAACCAAGCACTTCCTAATGGCCCTCAAATTAGTTCTATGCAGACAAAATCAACATTAGATAGTAAGAGTTACTGCATAAAAATATCTTATATACCACAACAACCATCAACTTAGGTGCCAAGCAGACAACCCAGCAGCATCTCCATATCATCACACTAGTAATTGTTTGTAAGTATTGACTTTTTTTGTGGTGACAGTGATCACACTCTTCACACTTCTTAGTGCTCCCTAAAATCAGAGCACAGCAAAGAGCTGCTGGCCATCTTGCCTGGGACTTGTCCGGAAGAGGAAGATTACAGCTGGCTTGCCTAAGGGTGGACAGCACTGATGGAGGAAACTGGCTGAGCTCCAGATTTTCCAAGCCTGAAGCTCACTGGAGAGAGTTCCAGCTGGCTTTGCAAACTGTCCAGCTGCAGAAGGGCAAGGCTGTTTTGAAATATAGATCCTTTCATACCAGGCAGTTTACAGTAGTCTAGTTTCTTTCAAAATGTGGAAAATCTGTTAGTGGTTCCTTTCTTTTGACTTTTCTGTTTTACAGAGGGGTCAGATGTGGTGATACTTCTTCCAGTTATATTGAGGTATCTTGCAACATGGGAATTCTGTCTGTGCTGTTCAGTGTGCAGTGGGGATTGTGCACAGGAGACTTCAGCATTAAAATGTATAGTGTTAGTGGAGATGAAAGAAGAGACTGTTTTATTTATCTGTTTTGTAAATATTTGAATCCTGTTCCAAAACTATGAAAAAGTTACGCTCTGAGGAGTTAGATAGGGCTGTTAGTACTGGTGACGACTACTAGCTAGGGAAAAGGGGAGTAATCTTAGGCTTTTATTTTATTGATGAGACACTAATGAGATAAGCCAGCAATCAATTTTTTTTAATTGTTCTAAGTGCAATGTTCAAAGTTTGTCTAAATTGCCATTCTTAGGGTGCAGGAGTTCTCTATACCCTTATATATGTGGACATTACCTGTCTTGTTCTGGTTCTTCCAGCAGGTAAAATTTCTATTAGTGAGAGACGTTCTTTATTAAATGTGTTGAAGTTGTAAGCAGATTGATGAGTAATGGAGATTGATTAGCACTTTATGTATTGTGTCGACAGAAAGTACTCCTGGAGGTTAAAGCCAATTATTAAATTGAAATTATAAAGAAACAATAAGACATTTGAAGTAATCCATTTTAATTAAAGCAAATTTAATTATATGCAAAGCAATATAAAGATTTGTGCAGGTCTAGGATTAGGAAAGATGTATAGAAATACATCTGGACCATTGTTGCTGCAGTAGATTGTACAGTGTCCAGAGGGAAGATTTTGCAGTCTTCTAAGTTACATTGGAATAGTATTTGCTAAAACAGATACCAACAATTTTCCAGGGACTGTCATAGTGGTTGAAGGCTCCCAAAAGGTGAGACAGAGTAATGGAATTTGGAAACAAGATACAGCAGCAGAATAAGCATTGTGTTATATGGGGATGCTCTGCTTTGCTTTTTAATTCTCTACTGAAGCTTTTTCTGGCATTAGTTTCCTACTGTTGAACAATCATGATTTGTACACATTTGTACATAATGTGAGTCACTAAAATGTGCACAAAACACATGACACTTTTGTCCTGCGTGAAAGGCAGCTTAGAAATGGAAGAGTAAAAGATGGATATTTGGATAAAAGGAGTAGTTTCTATTAATTAATTAATAAAGATCTAGTCACTGACTTGGTATTTGGTATACAATAAAACTGAAATAAAAATGGCAGTTGAGCAGTAGATATCTGGGATCCGTTAACAGGAGCAAAGCCTATTACTTGACAAATTGTATGCCTATTTGAAATGCAGCCAGTAGTTTTCTGAGTTGTTATCATGGACTTTCTGAATTTTGTGGGCTGTTCCTTAATATAAGGAGGATATTGGCAATGGATGCTGTTTGGAAACCACTAACAGAAGATGGCAATTAAAAGACAGACTTGAAAAGGAAGACTAAAAGAAAAGCTTTAGAGAGTTGAACACATGTAACTTGGTCAAACGCTGACTAAAGGGGAGCATAAAAAACACAAATATTTTAAGGGTTTAAACATCAAAGTATATTGATGAATTATTTGGAGCAGTTGAAGAGAGTATAAATAGGAATAACAGGATATAATTAGGCAAAGTAGGATTTAGCAGGATATAAGGCAAAATACCCTTACAGTAAGACAGATTATTACATGATAGATCAGGCTCCCCAAGGCAGTGGTGAAAAAGCTGTCACTGAAAACATTCAAAATTAGACCAGGTGAAATCCTATAGGAAGAACTGTATTATAAATCAGGGAGCAGGTGGGAGAAGTGATGCAGTGGCTTTTGGTTTTATTTTTCTTCATTGCTTCTTTGAAAACATGTACTCATTGGAACAATATTGTTGTCATATTAACATTAAAAATTATGTGCTGAGTTTTAAAAAGTCTTTTTATTTGGGAGGAGAAATAATTGCTTATGCAAAATTCGAGGCACTGTTGAAAAATTCTAACTGTTACAGCATGGTAAACGATGGTAAATATGAATTCTAGGCCCATAAAAGCATGAGCATTTTAAGTTAATACTGCCAGATTGCATGATAGCTGAGGTTTGATATGACATTTATCTTCAGGAGTGAGTAGGCTGATAAATCACAAGTGGCATAGCCACAAGTGAGTTAGCAAGTGTTTACTCATGAGTGAAGATAGATGTCATATCAGACCATAGCCATTCTGAATTTTGTTCATTTATAAGTGGCTTGTTCCTTCTTTCCTTCCATAATACTTTTTTTTAACTTAATTGAGAGAAAAAATGCTTTTTAAAGAATATGTATTCCAAATTTATTTTTATTTTTCATTCTTTGCAGAAGCTTTTATTTCCTATGCTTTTGTTTTTATGGCTGTATCTTATATGGCTTAACCATATCAGATCCTTTTGTTGGGCAAATGTGGTTTATGTAAATTGAGTCAGGCTGTTTTGCAGTCAAGTAAAGGAAAGCATATTGTTGAGACCCCATGCATCTGCATTGGTAAAGGAACATCTAGATTGTTGAGACTTGCAAAAGTCCCTGGCCTCAAAAACTTTAGCAGTGTGTTCTAATCTAATTGTCCTAAAGGACTTCTCCTTTCAGTGGTTTTGTAGGTGGTAACTTTATTTAGTATCTCCTGTTTAGGAAAAACAAAGAACAGAAGTTATCAGTCTTCCTGCTTTTATACATTTTATGTGCTTCTCAACTGAATTCTTTCTTAGTCCATGTTTGTTGGTCATTTGTGTTGTTAATTACTGGTCTGTGTTCACATCTGTAATTTGTTCTTTGTCCTGCAATAACATATACAGTAGAAGATTCACACCTGTCATTGTATGATCATCACCTTTTGGTTTGAGATTAGCACCATAGAGCACTATCGGTTTATTCTCACACAGAGTTATTGCATCTAAGCTTTCTGAAGAAGGGCCTTAAGAAAAACGACTTTCAGCTGTCACCACTTTGTTATTCTGGTTATCAGTAGTGTCACTGTTAAATATCCTTTTTTTTTGTCTTCATAAGTCTGCTTGTTTTGTGGAAGAACCTTTGTATAAACATCCCTTTTTATAAATGTGAAAACAAAGTGAATTTTAGGAATGGACAGTAGCAGTCTGGAGCATTCAGGAAGTGAGAGAAGGAACTTGTCTGGAGGAGCAGTCAAATGGTCAAAGTGACTGTTACTAGTGGAGTGGAAAGATGACGGTTAAGGGAAGAAATGGAAAGATGAAATAAAAAAAGAGGGGGAATACTTTCTGTTGTAAGAAATGTGTGTCTTATTTTGCAGAAAAATACTATTCTGTAGAAAAAAAAATTTAGGTAACTTTTCACGTATTGCACTCAGAGAAGCAATGCTGTGACTTTCCTGCTTCGGTGTGTTTCTTGAAGAGCTCCGAAGTACAGCAGCCTAGGAGCTGGTTTGTCAACTTTTGACTGATAAATTGAAGAGCAATAAGCTGGTATATGACAATACTTGCTGTCTTGGCACTGTCTTGATCATAATTTTGTTTGGTAATGTTGCTATTTTCCAAACTCATTACCAAATCCAGGCAATGGCTAAATCACGTTATATCTTTTCTATTTTCTGTGCCTTTGTTATTACTGTTCTGCTCTTGTGCTTGCTGTCTTCAGTGGTGGGAATAATGAAAATGGCTTCCCTTCTTTTTGGTGGAGGTAGAATGATGAACAGTTTCTCTAAACTTTGAAGACTTTTATATTCTGCCTTGTTACCTTTTCTGACTCAGCGCTTTTATAAGATCATTGATAATTGCAATTATGGCTGTAGTGGTAAAAGGTTGGAAAGCTGTCTAGTCCAACCTTCTGCTTACAGGTTAGTGCGTTGCCCAGGGCCTTGACCAGTCATGCTTTGAATATCTTCAAGATGAGATTACACAGCCTCCCTGGGCAATCTGTACCAGTGCTTTTCCACCCTCATGGTAATTTTTTTTTTCCTCCTTGTATGAAAATTTCTGATATTTCAAGTTGTGCCCATTGTGTCACATCCTTCTGCTCTGCACCTGTGAGAGTCTGGCTCTGTCTTCTCCGCATCTTCCCATCAGGTGGTTGCAGACAGCAGTGAGATCTCCCCTTTTCTGAAGGCTGAATTAATGTCTCCAATAACCTCAGTATACTAAAACATCCACTTTTGTATCTTCTATATCAGTCTGGGTTAGTAAACTGATATTTATGAACTGGGATTCAGCATATAAATAGATAATGTTAGATGAGGTACACTCATTGTGTGTATTTTTAGGCTGTGAGAAATATGATATAATTTGGTTAATTGTCTCCCAGAATAACTTTCCTAATACCTTGTTCATCGTCTGCACTTTTCAGGCCAAGTTAAGGACATACTAATAATGTTTATGCTGTTGGGAAAATGAGTATGAGGATTAGAACAGTTTGAATTATTTTAATTGATGAAGGGTGGTTTAGATTGTTTATAAATTTAAATGCAGGGTCAGTTACCTCTGGCTCATCAGGTTTTATGACAACCCTTGTTTGCCTGCAAAGAGGGTTACACATTCAGTTTCAGAAACAAGTTGCTGATGTTCATTCCTTAATCACTGCCAGATCTGAAGATATCTGTGTGGAAATGTATCTTAAAACTGTATAAAGACTGGAATTTAAGTTAGTGTAAGATGTTGCTCTGAGTTCAGGTGCAGTTGTTCCTTTTAAAGGGTACATGCTTGTTGCTGTTGGTTTCTGTATGGAATTTAAGATAACAATTTTAATCTGTGTCCCCTGGAAAAGTTTGTTTCTCCATCATTTTCTACACTTTTAGCACTTCTACATATGTTGAAGTCCTAGTACAGTACTTGTTAAAGAATATTTTTTGAATGTATTTGATAGTAAAGAAAACATTGCCATTGTTTATGTCATCTTAAATGGTTAAATACTGTCCTATCTTTAATGGTGCTAGTGGCTCATTTTTAGGGAGCGCAATGAAAACATTAATCAGGAGAAACAGAACTTGAGTCTGAACTGTAGAAGTTACTTGCTTCACAGAGAAAAAAGATCTAATTGCAGACAGTTACTGTAATACCAGATAGTAATTCTATCCACAGGTCACATACATCTCCTTTTTGGCCTGGCTTCTGGCCAGTTAAGGTATGGCTACTTTTCTTCACTCTTCTCTGAAAACTCATCCAATAAATTATTGTAAAAGTGGCAACGTTCTCCTTCTTTCATACCAATGTAGTCTATTTTCTGTGGGCTGTTCTGTCTGTGTACTTATTAAAACACACTTTGTACATTTCCTGTGCATCAAAATGCAGTCAAATTCAACTTTTCCCCTCATTTTCTCTTCTCACCTCTATTTCTTTCCTGGTTTTAAGCATGGTAGCTACTTCATTCTTTTTCCTCTGAGTGTCACTATTTACTCACTGCCTGTCTTGACCAAGTAAATTTACATCCATTTGCTCCATTGACTGTGCCTAATACAAATGCTCCATTTTTCTTCAGTGTCCATAGTTGAAGCTGAATCTTTGATCTTTTTTTCCCTTTTCTCTTTCTACAAGGTAGCTAATACTTCTACATCCACAGGTTTATTGTTAATTTTCAACTTTTAATGTTTTAGGATGTACAGAATGCAATTTTGTAACTCCAAAATGGTCCTATTTGTTTTTTTCCAGACTGCTTTACAGGTCTTGTTCCCTCATTACTCTTTTGTTGCTTGTAGTTTTCACCCCTCTTCCTTCTGATTTGGGAGCCCTGGTTCCTGTTGATAGAACAATTTCCTATTTGTTCTGTAGCCTCTTCATTCTCTACTTTTTACATCTCATTTGAAAATACTGTTTCTCCTTTCCTTTTCTCCATAGTGTACTTTGAAGTCAGAGATTTGGCCATTCATTATTCAGCTAAAAAACATGGGTTTAGATACCCTTGGTAAGAATAATGCTGACTGGTGCTGAATAAAGCTCCAGTGGTTCCTGTGTCTTTCATGTAGCAGTGCGTGGTGTGGTGTATTGTCTTTTAGGAGGGAATACTGCATCCTGTGGGTGTGAGACGGAGACGTGTAATTCAGAAACAGCAGACACATTATGCAATGGAAGTAACATAGTTGTGACTGTGAAGAGCACATGCCTGAGTTGTGGTTGTAATCTTATTTACAGCTATTTGCCTGTGTTTTGTTTTCAAAGTTCATTTATGAATTTTTTTTCCTAGCTCTGCAGCATTCACACATCTTTTTGAATCTTCTGTTCATTACATCTGTGCCTACCTTGTCCCTGATTCATGAACATACATACTGCTGTTGCTTACACATGACCCTTGCAGGTTTTTTTCTTTTTGACTTAATTTGTTTATGGGTCAAATTCTAAGTTTCTAACCTGGCTTCAGTTTTGGGTAAGGACTTCAGAACTTGGCTTAGTAGTAAGTGAAACCTTGAGAATATCCAATTAACATTTAAAAGATGAATAGTATATGATCACCACAAAACATTGTTTTCTTTCTTGTGTATATCTGACTTGGGAACCCATAATATTTTAGAAGTTTTAGTATATATTTTCTTTAAAAAGTGTAGATATATAGTGAAAGGCCTAATGGTTGTAGGTGGATACCACTAAAATGATTGCATTTTCTTCTACAAAAATGCTTTTCCTAGTAAAATTTCTGAAGGCAAAAGTCTAAACTTCAATATATACCTTATACTTTGAAATATATTTTTGATCAAGGTTGTGACATATGACATTTGTGTCAAATATTACTTGATTTTTTTTTTTAAAGCATAACAGCAAAATAGGTATATACACACACACACAACCACACGCATTACATCAATATGACTTTTGTCACTAGCTGGTTGTGCTTTTAGAGATACACATGCTTATATTAGTAATTATAGGTATTAGTATATTTACGTTGTGTGTGTTTGTGTATAAAGAGTATAATATAAGTATACTTTTTTTTAATAATAGCAGATTATCCAGTCAACATCTGCTCAAACTGTGAAACGAAACCCTGCTTGCCAGACTACCCAGATTAGGATGCCAGTGGTAATAACTCAGACCATTAGACCACAAGGTATGGGTTTAAATGTTTTAGTGAGATTGTTACCTTTGTATGAATTTAACTGTAATTACAAACTAGTAGCATGGGAAAAACTTACAGTGTTGACATTGGCAGGCTTGACATTTAATTTTTTACTTCATACTGGCTGAAGAATGCATGTTTTCACTATGCAGTTTCAAGGTATTTCAGACCAACACAGTGAAATGTTTTGAAACAACCTTAGGACTAAACTCTCACATGCTAAGCTCCTTACTCGGCAGTTTTTCATGGAAAATTCTGAAAGAAGTCAGGAACTTGACTCTTACTGTCCTGAGCTCTAACTCTGGGCCGAAAAAGAGTTCTTCATTTTTTTTTCTGAAGCCTAGAGGATACCTTGATTTAATTATCCTACTTTTACTCCTGAAGTGGAACATCGTAGTCGCTGTCTCTGCAGCTACAGAGGTCAAGGTAGGAGTCCAAGAGAAATTTCTCAACACACATGCTTTTTTTCTTTTTTTTTCCTGCCAGTATGTTTACTCTTTGGTGAGGTCAGAGACTGACTGCAGCAACCTGACATGCCATGATTAGCCAGGGGAGCAAGAAGTGTGGTTGGTTCACAACTTCCTCATCTCTCTGCACAGGTGGATTAATGTCTGGCTGATAATATCCCACTTTTTACAAGGGCTTTTGAAGCCTTCTTACTTTCTAATAAATACCCATTTGTTTCTTTCCTCCACTAGACCTGTTAGGCTTAGTTTTTATTTTTCCTGATTATGTGTGAAAGTATCTTTTTGGATGTGGGCATTTAGATGATTGAGGGTTTGTAATGGAATACAGAGCTTGTCATCTTTAGGTATTGAATTGGAAATCAATTTAGTTTAAATGCACATAAAAGCTGTTGCTGCCTATTTCACTTTATTGCTTGGTCTTTTCTGTTCTCCTTGGGAAAAGAAAGCATCAAAAGACCCCACAGATAATAGCAGTTGATGTTCTACTTGTTCTGTTCTCTACAGAGAATCCATAGCTTGAATGGACATGGAGACTCACTGTAATCCTGTAGGCTTTTTTCCAAGTTAGGAAGAAATGCATTTACTTGTCATAAAAAGTGTATGTTTGATAGCACTGATATCCTGATTTTATGAGTTATGATGCCCTGAGTTTATTTACAGGAAAGGTATGCAGCATCTTACAGCATGAACTTTCACTTCTGACTAATGTGTCTTGAGAGTGAAGGTTGATTTAATTTCTTTGCTTGTTCAGTCTCTTGAGTTGTGAATGTCAACAGTGTGCCAAGATACTGGCATCTGTCTTTTAAACAGTGGATTCAGAATATGAATTTATTTATGATAGCCATTGATCAGCCAAGGAAATGCAACTTAACTGGCAGTTTGGCTTAAAGAAGACAACAGTTCATAAAGGCCAATTCATGCAAAGCCCTACTTTCAGGTGAGCTTATTCCTATTTACAAGTGTGTTTAAGCCCACCACTATATTGTTTTAATTGCACAGACAAAGCAAATTTAGCAAATCCTGCAGCCCACGTCTACGGAGAAGTCCGCCTGTGTGCTTGCAGGTCTAAAATGCCGCTGTGGCATACTGTCAGATACCAGTTTATTTGGATTTTGATATACTGTTAAAACTTTCTACTGTGTACACCAGTATAATGATATTTTATGCTGGCCTAGGTATTCCTGTAGAAGCAGGTAAGATACTAGAATAGGATGTGGTCTATATAGAAAATCACAATAGTGTAATTTTGTGGAGTGTGACTTTTTAAGGATAGTTACACCAGAACTGAGCTGACTTCCACAGAGTGATATATTTTCCTTCTCAGATAGGAGTGAATCTCCTGTTGTAATGTATCTTTAATATTAATTCATCCATGTGAACAGAGTGTAATGCTTTTTCAAACAGTAGTATAGATTAAGTTGGTAGGCTTTAAGGACTTATATATTAATAAAATTACTTCCACACCAGGGGAAGCAGCACAATAGTTACTGCTTGAAAAATTCACACTCCTTTATCAAAGCATTTATCAGTATAATAGTTGAATTGCATCTTGTGGATGGGGGAATTGAGCCAAAGAATAAAATAATTAGCCAGAGTATTCATTGCAGCTATTTAACCTGTGCAGAAATACAACTAGGAATTTATAAGCTCCTGAATTTGGGCTTATTTTTCTAGATCATGCTACTTAAAATTTGAAATGAGAACCCAGTGGTGAAAGACTCTGTATGTCATTACTAATCCCATGAAATATCTAGGCCCACAGGTGATTTTAATTTTCAAAATACGCCCTGCCTCATAATATAAATTGATGTTCTAGCCCTATTTTGTGTTTGTTTGCTTAATCATGCACGGTTGTGATTTAAACCAGAAAACTTGTATGTTATCTCAAAACTTACATTTACTTTGCCAGATTCATTTGAGTAGAATTACATATACATGCAATGAAAAAAGTGAGACAGTATTCTCATATCCAGTGCAGACATACTGTTTTTCTGAGACCAAGAAGTTGTTGATGTACCTTTTTTTGGGTTTTGTTTTGTTTTTTATCAAAAGTTATTATCTGTAGAAAACAAGCCATTGATACAAATTCTAAAGGAACATAATATTAATTCTGTGCCACTCATCTTAATTTTGCTATTTCAATAGTTTTCAATGTCAACACACTTTTAATCTCCTAGATGTTAATTCAGAAAGCAGAGATCTGCTAATTTTTATTACACTAGTATTTATTTTCTTCCAGTTTATTAGAAAACCTTTCAACTAGTTCATCTAAAATAAATGGTCTGGTCCATGAACTAATGCTATCTGTGACATGTCATGGACCTTGAATTTTCTGATGACAAAATATTTTTTTTTCCCCAGGCTTGGAGCCTAAAGTCCTAAAACTTGTTTTGTGTTTACTACTGCTGAGAGTCCACACAACATTTATACATACTGAAGAACTGAATGAACACTGTTAAATTTAGTTTCACTTTAAGATCATATATTGAAGTTGATGAAGACTTAGAAATAAAAGTGGTGCTGGACTCATTCAAAGCTAACACTTTTGTTTTAGCAAATAAATGTTCTTAAAAGGATTTGTTGGGATAGTTGTATTTAACGTTTTTATAATTCATGAAAGAAAAATAATGTAAGTCCACTAAGGTTCATACCATGCCATTTATATGCAACTGAGTCATAGATGTGCAGGAATAAATTTCATGGGCTTCTCAAAGTCTCAAACACTATGTGTATGTAATGTTGGGTGATATACAGGAAGAAGGTGAGGTCTTTTATGTCAAGTAGACATATGAATTAATTATTTACACATGCCAAAACACAGGTGGGATTAATGGCCATACAGAAGCTAACCCAAGTAAGCATGTGTTTAAGCAGTAAAGCAGGGTTTACTCCAAAAGTTTAATTTGCCAATGCTTTTTCAGTTGCATATTGATATGGTTTTTTTAACAATAATAATACTACAGGTCTGTTGATTTGCTAATTAGGAATATAAATTTGTAGTTATTTTTGGTTAGATTTTTCCAAATATCAAAGAGGAATTACTATTAATTTTTTAAATTTATGGTCGCAGGCTGAATGTCTACCACACTTGGGCTTATTTACAAAGCCCAGTTTTACTTCTGCATACAGACCTGTAAAGTCTAGATACAGATATGAATTACTTTTAAATAATCATTTTCAAAATAAGAAAGTAAAAGACAACTTTGAGGGGGGGGTATGTCAAATTTTACAGTAGTGATTTTTCTTTTTCATACAATATAAAACATTTAAAAATATGTAAAATACATGTTTTCAACTCTGAAAATACATGTATTTCACTGCAACAAAGAATAATGATTATGAAAAAAAGTAGAAGACGTAGTTAATAATAACCTGGGCGTCTGTGACTTAAAGCATCTGTATTAAGAACATTCCAAATTCTGCTTCTTCATTCTGTGCAAATTATCTAGAAAAGTGGTTTACTGGCAATTGCAAACACACCCATAGACATTATGTGTATTATAACCAGTTATGGCCAATGGTATTCAGTTTTTGAATCTTCATTATTCTGTAAATATTGAACAAACTGTAATGTTACAATAAATTTTGTATTTTAAATTGTTCCTCTTCAGCAGTGTAATCTTTAAAAATAATAACTTCCTTTGTTTGCGATTTACAGACAGTTAAATTTAGTTCCTGGACAGAAGGTTCTTTGATGTAAATTGTCTAAGACAGCTCATAATAACATTGCTTGGTGTTTTTCAGGCACAGTAGGGAAGGCACCAACAATACAAGCCAGCAAAAGTCCTGGGGGCTTTGGTGTTCAGGTCTCTGCAAATCAGAAAAACAAGCTGAATGACCCTGGAGGTGGTTCTTTCAGGTAAAAATAAAAAAATAAAAAAATGCAGGAGGATGGTTGGGGGGATCTTAAATATAAAATAGATTTTTAGAATTGGTTTAACACCAGAGGGCAGTGTTTTACAATAATTCCTGCCTTTACTTACTGTGATTGGTTGGCAATTTTCTTACTTAGTTCTGTTTTAAAGAAAGGGAGGGGGTCATGACATGTCTTGAGGATTTTTCTCTAAATGCACTTTTTAATGTTTAATAAAGCCTTCAATTCTGTGTATTATAATAAAATTTCTGGTAAATAGAATTACATGTTGAAGCTTTAAAAAAAATACATGGTTTTATGTATTGGATTCTAACGTGCATATGGAAGGTATCTTGCTGAGAAGATAGTAATTGTGACAACAAGGCATCCCGTTGATAGGCTTCTGCGGCTAAGCTGCAGCTATGCCCTTATCCTCATAGAGGAAATACTGGATAGCTTTGGTAGTGGGTTTTGGATCGGTTTTTTGTGTACAGATTGTTGTTCTTGGTTTTAAAGAGATGTTGCTGTATCAATTCTTCACATGCTTTCTTAGGTAGCAGAGGTTGGGGCATTCTGTGGCTCCCTGTAGTAATCAGGTGCTGCAAAGGTTCAACACGGTAGCATTTATGCATCAAGCTGCTATACCAGGTTTTTTGTACTTCAAACTTTGATTTTATATATATTTTGGGTATTTTTACTCTTTGTAATGAAAAGCTGATCTTGTGTTTACTGCATTTTGCTTTCACTTTCATTATTTTAATTATTTTCCACTGATGAAAGTACATTTTATTTGTGTTTAAACATTTTCTATCTTTGGTAAATGAGAAAATATTCCTACATTTTCATTTTTGTATTCTGGATTTCTTATGTTGCTCTGACACCATCAAACCAGTAATTAATTTTCAGGCTTATGCTTTTGCAGGTGAAGTAAAAGTGAGTTTGTACCTCTTAGAAATATCTCTGCTTTGAGGCATGTCAGTATTGCAACTAATAGTGGTAGTACTTAGTATTAATCTAGAAGCAAAATCATTCAATTTTTTATTTTCCAATGCTTTTGCCTCCCACTGAGTATTTAAATGATTTAAAATGTCTGTTGGGCTCAATTGTACTGTCTTAATAAGTATTTTTTATGTTTGTAAGCAACATGAGCATTTATTCTTCGTTAGTATAGCTTTCAATTTTACATATACCAAAAGGGACAGCATTTTTGTAACTGGATGTTGTAAACTGTGCCAGGATTGATTCTTGCATTCACTTAGTTTATACATAGAATATATTAGGTTAGCTGGAATTGTTAATTTTCCCTTGGGGAGAAGCAAATGCTCAAGGCACTGATTGATAAATCAATAAATCTTTAGTGAGTTTGGTAAATAAGCTGTCAAGGGTGTATGTCATTTTTCCTCTAGAGAACAAATTTTAGTCAGAATGAATGTGTTTGTTTCCTTGCATTGTTTTCTCCTTCAAAATAGTAAGACACAAAGCTGCATTTAAATAAGTCCATAAAATTGCAAGGATTTATTAAACAGCAGCAAAGATCAAGCTTTTTCTTGATATCTTAACAAAGAATTCAGTTGTTTGCATATTTGCATTTCAACCCCTAACCTCTCCTGAGGACAAATAGATGTCTGACTATTAAGCCTAAAGGCACAGAGCTGGAAATCTGTATTAATCCTCTGAATGCTGACTAGTTTTCCTCAACATTCCCAGCGTGTGTGAAGAATATGTTTTTAGCCAGAAGGCAAACTGCATCTAAAGCAAAGCAAGAATTTTGAAAAATAGTAGTGTTATGTATAAATTCATTTTGCCCTTAGTGTTTTATTATTGCATATTTGTTTCATTATTTTATATTCTGCTTTCTTTAACTTACTTGAGCTCTTCACTCTTGTGAGCAAAGTATTGGTCACTAGAAATGGAAATGTGAACTGAAAAATGTGATTTTCAGTTTCTTCTATTCAGGACTGGAAAATACAGGAAGGAATTACAAAAAAAAAAGACGTAGCAATTAGGAATTTTGCTATTTACAGCTTAGCCTTTAACGTCAGCACTTCTTAATGAACTGTAAGGCTGCTTACATGAGTTCAGTGGGTATTACAGTAGCTGTTCTGTGACGCAGAGTTTTCAACCCAAGACTTCTGCAATGTAAAGTTGTTTGATTAATGAAATTTTATGTCACCTTTTTTGGTTTTAAAACCTATTATTGCTAAATTTTTCAGAGAGAACAACAGACAACTCAATTTAATTGACTTTTCAACTATGTTAATACCTAACGATGGAAATTTGAATCCCATTTTTTGTATTTTTTTGCTTGTTCGTTTTACAATAGTAATTCTGACTTATATTTGTACCATAATAGTCCAGCTGGAGGTTTCTGTAGTTGGGAGACGAAGCAGAAGGCCCACTGAAATCTGCTGGTGGCCTGTGTATTTGGCTATAACTGCTGTGTACATCATCATCTAGTTTGGTAACCTCAGAGCTCCCAACTAACATAAGCAGTGAAAGCAGAGTCTCAAAGTAATTAACCATAGTTCAGATTGTGGCCAGTATAAAGAACGAGTGGACACACTTGTTCCCCCTGATACTGAGTCAGAAGACTATTTCAGTTGGAAGTGACCTTGAGAGGTCAGCTAGTCCAACTTCTGACTCAGAGCAGGTTTGGTTAGATCAGGGACTTGTCCAGTTCTGTGTATCTCTAAGGATGGAGATACCTGTTTGTACTCTTGTATTATCCCAGCACTTCCTAACTGTTTTGGGTAAGGCTCAGTGGCATTGCATGTAAAATGAGGCAAGAAGTGGACAGAGCCCTTCCCTTTATGTGTGTGATGATGGGATGTTTACCGTAGTGTACCAGGCAGCCAGATGCTCCTTCCCTTTCACAGCAACCATTCTTTTTCTGGAACAGTATTTTGAAGTTATATACAACCTCTTGGAGCCTATCTGTATCAGGTTTTATACAGCCAATGTGATGGAGTTTTTTTTCAGAATCAGTTCTATGAAGTGACTGAGATCAGCTGAAGCTTATCTTAGTATTTGTATTTTATGCTACTGACTGGCAACATTGTAAAAGAGTATACCTGGGGAAAAAAAATAATTGTTTTCAGACCTTTTTTGCCTAGCTGAAAGAGTCTGTTACCTGTTACCTTATTTTTATTTTTTAAAATGGAAGTTTAATAACATAGTTCTAGCAAAATGTCTCAGAATGCATGAAGTTACATCTAATAATGTGCAAATCAGCCTTTAAGGAGAGAAGGAAAGCTAATGTAGATGTTAATTGGCTAACTTCAGTTTTCATCTCAAAATAATATGTGTTGTAAAACCTTAGGCTTTAAGTTTCTTTGTTTTTCAAAATAAATATTTCACGCTATAAGGTGATAGATTATTTTTTCAAAATAAGAAAAAAGCTGACTGTATACGTGATATGTTCTGTCATCCTTTTTGCTTATCAGTGAGAAGATCCAGCATAGACCATGAATGAATTGTGTGACAAAGCAGAATTAGGGAGAAACTTCATATTAAAGCTTGAAACTCAGAATAAACGTTAAATAAACTAAATAGAATTTATGCCATTATAAAATGTAATATAGTAGTGGCTATTACGGTAATTTCAATTTACCATTTATATCCAATGTATTGTTGTTGTTCTCTGATCTTGTGATCCATGGAATTTGTAGACTCACTCAGAGTCTTGCATATGTGTAGGAACTTTGCCGTAATGACATGAAATTTCACTTTGAGAGAGAGGGAAATCAATAGTATAATATTGTCCCAGTTCCTTTATGTATTGTTAGAGCTTATTTGGGAACAGTTCAGTATTGCAGATTTGGACATCATTGGCTCACATCTTACAGAGTGCATGAGAAAGAAAAGCAGTATGCAGTTGTGCAGTTTTGTTCATAAAGAAAATGCTGCCAGATTTCTATAATGGCTTGTCTTAGTTTAAACAAGATCTTTGAAACTTGCTACGGAGAACTGTGCAATTTTTTTTCTTTCTTTTCAAATATTTTTTTTCTTGTAATTGCATGAGTATTTTTAATGAAGAGGAGAGGGAGAGGTGTTACAAGATTTTGAATATAGGAGGAAGAACTGAACTTTTAGATGCTTTATGATGTAGTTTGCATTTGGAAAGAGTTTGAGAACTCATGCTGTCTTCTTAAAAATAACATGGATGTTGGAATTTTAAATTTATTCCATAAGGCTCAGAATTTAATTCAGTTAGAAACAGAAATATTGAAACAGTATAATTAGTGTGACCACAATAATATATGCCAAGAAACATGAAATTGTTAAAGATTGTGCTGGGATGAAAAGGGAAAGATAAATTAATCATCAATCTAGACGACCACTGGATGGCATCTTTGTTCCAAGGAATGACTTCTGAAAACTCACTCATCTGGACTGAAAAGTTGACTTTTATAGGAAATTGTTTGGCAAGAATGCCAGCCCTCTTTATATATAAATGTTTGTGTGTTTCATTATCTAAACCCAAGCTCTTCTTCATGATGAAGTTCCTTGAAGTCAAAAAGAATATATTGGTAGAATTCCCATTAGACTGAAAAAATTGTCATCCCAATTATGATTAAAACATTTTGTATCTATCTTCCATGTAACATTAAAAAAAAAGTGTATTCACAGATAGTAGATTGCCATTGTAAGATGGAAGGAAATTATTCTCTCCAGGAGTTGTGGTGATGGTCTTTATAAGAGCTATTACATTGATTTTAATAATTGCATTAGAATCCTGGTTTGAATTGTCTGGTTTTATTTCAGACAGTATTTATTTATAATGTGGTCACAGATCTGTAAATCAAAATTAGAATAAAATGCTAGAGCAGAAGGAAGGTAAAAGATTGATTGTACTTTCTTCAGCTATTAAGTAAAAGCAGAGGTAAGTATAAACTACTCTTAAAAACTGTGTTCTTGAAGTCAGGAGTGCTGTCTTGACTTCTGCATGGATGGTTGCTTGAAGGACGTGAAAGTACCTCAGTCCTGGCAACCTGATCTGGAAATACAGTGTTGAGACTGTATTACTGCTAGCCAGATTGTGCATAACTGTCTGATAAATACTTGCTAAAGCAAGTGAGATCATGGGGGCTGTATACAGAGAAAGCATACGAGTATCCTGCTCAATTGATGTTTGATCAAGATCCTTTGAGTCCTTGTGCTCAGGACCCCTCAGCAGGTAGTGGTACCCAGGCACTGTGTGACCCACAGGGCAGCAGTGCTGTGAGGTCCACTGGAATCAATATTGGGTTTTTTGCTTTATTTTGTATTTCTGGGTTCAAGTCTGTTTTCCAGTAGCCTCCCCTATCTTACATAGTTTTGATTTTGTGTTATGGTAACTACCTTTATATGAATTCAGTTTTGCCGTGGTTTCAAAGACCTGTTGGATTTGGGCCTTGTGGGTCCTGGGTAGATTACCTTGGGTGGTGCTCATTCTATTTCAAGCATTGAGGTTTTTTAAAACCCCAGAATCTTAGTTTTTCCACTTTTTTTCAGTTTTAGTTGCTTTTTTTCATAATCTTTTGAACTTGTCGCTGAATATTTAAGTCGCTATTAGTTGTTATGTAGCCAAGTACATTTATCAGCTGTGATATTTGGGGGAAGTTCCATAACTGGTTGGACAAGGCCAAAGAGTAGTTCAATCATCTATGCACCAAATGCACAGGAGCCCAGTTTCTTCATGGCAGCTTTTGTGACCCTCCTATGAGTATCACGTACATACTATGTGAAATGTAAACATGAAAGTCCTTTAGATTCAGCACAAAAACCATCAAGGCAAGTTTGTGCACATCGATTTTGTGACACTATCCTCAGGAATTTCATTCTAAGAATAAATCAAGTGCTTAGCACTTGTGAAAGAATCACAAAAGCTCATTTGTGTAGCATTTTTCTGACAGTCATTGTAATTTTTTTCATTTTCTGCCTCAAGTGTTCAGGACATTTCTCCAGGTTTATACAAACAAAAATCTCTTCTTGATTTATTGCCACAGAAGAAAACAAAATCCAACAAACCATAGAAGTCTTTCACCAAAATTGGCTGCTCTAGTGCCGGAGAGTATGGGAGAACAGGAAGGACCTGGATTATGGCTTTCTAGATTTCTCTTCTTTTGTTCTCAGACATTACTTGTCGCTTTTGGTTTTTACTGTTGGCGTTAATCTTGTAACAAGTGACAGAAAATATTGTAGGGTGCATAGGATGACAACTATGTAATAATTTTTTAAAAAATCTTTTAAGTTAAGCCTTTGCTTTATGCAGTAGTAGGAGTCTGGGCTTGGATGTATGTTAATCTTTTCCATATATATGTGTTCTCAAAGTTTGTGTAATTTCTCCTAGAATATGATGAAATCCAGTGTTCATGTCAGTAATAGCTCCTAAACAGAATGTGCTAAAAACAGATGGTTGTTTCCACAGTTGAGTCATACCTCATAGAGGTAGGAGGTAGAAGATGCTTGGGACATACCAGTATGGAAACTGAAATTCGTTAGTACTTCCTCAAGCTGTTAGGAAGGGTATTGCAGGGCAAACAGTAGCCTGGGAAGTGCTGCTATCATCTTCTTAAATGCAGGTCATTTTTCTAAAACTAGTTGACGTGTTATACTAATTTTGGTATGTTGCCAGAGAAAATAACCAGTGCATATTCAAACTACGGTTGGAATCCAAACTTATCTATGAACTCATCGTGGTCAAAGAATCTTTCCTGACTCTTGCTGAAAATACTTTGGTGCCCATTTTGATAGGAACTTGTGAAATGGTGCAGGATTCCATATTCATGTTTTTGCTTTTAATGTCTGTGGAATTTTTATTTATTTTATTATTTTACTACTCGTTTTCATCATAAAGAGAATAGCCAAATGCTCTGTCTTTATTGCTGATCATTGCCTTTAGTTTCATGACCATCCTGGTTTCATTGATACCACTGACTCTTGGGTGAAGAGAAGACACCTCTGTCATACCTTCTGTTACAGAGAAATTGTCCTGCATCTAAAGTTTTCCTAATGTGATCAGAGAAATACTTAGTTATTTCTGAATCTAGAATATATTGTATGAAAATGGAGACCCTAGTGGTTGTGCCTCAGGTTGGCCCAGGCACTGGGCATGTTGCATGGTGATTACTTTTGGAGATGCAGATAATATACAAAATTAATATATCACATGCAGAATTTTTTTTGGTTTTTTTCATTATAGAGATGATGATGACATCAATGATGTTGCCTCTATGGCTGGTGTTAATCTTAATGAAGAAAGTGCCCGTATTATGGCTACAAACTCTGACTTGGTTGGAACCCAGATACAGTCCTGTAAAGATGAACCCTTTCTTGCTGCTATACCTCTACATAAACGCATACTTGAAATGGGTGAGAAACATGTCCTTTCCTTTTGATAGTGTTTCCTTTGAAGTTACGCGATTCTGAGTAACAGAATATGCTTAGCACTTAAGATTGTTTTTTAAGCATTTTATTACATAATCTTGTATTGCTAAACTTTCAAGGTTTTTGTGATAAAAGTAACTTAGTTATCTCAAGTTGGAAAAAAACAGTATACTGGTACTTTTATACTTCATGCTTTGCCCATGTTTTTAATATCCAAGGATCTCAAAGCTCTTTGCAAACATTAATTATTTCTCACAATCCTCCTTCATGTTTTACACATGAGAAGATTTAAACAGAGGGGTAAAGTAAGTAGTACAGGTCACAGAGGACACCTGTGAATAACATTTAACAGAATGTTGAAGTTATCTGTCAAGATTTTCTTTCCCCATACAGGCTGTTTTTTCAGTTCTTAACACCTGCATCTTTTTAAGTTCATAGTGATTTTCTTACAGCATTTTTTCAAAAAAGTGTATTTATTTATACGGACAAAAAGGTGTATTTATTTATTCTGATATTTGAAAACAGAAGTTAAAAACTTCGGTAAAAAAAATAACTGCTCAGAATGAGTGATGTTGTCAGGTTAGTAAGTAAGCTTAGAATGTATTTTATATGACACACTTGATTAATATACTATATATGTTCTAGTACCTAAATGTATCTTTTTCAACATAGTTTTGGTAATATTTTCAGAGCCATCAGTGTCTTAAGATACTAAGATCAAATTGTTTAGGGGCATAAATCATATATTTCTTTTAGAACTATGCTTACATCACTAGTTAAATTTGTACAATTTGTAGGGATCTAATTCTCATAATTTAAAAAACAAGACCAAAATCTTGTTAGCAATTGGTACAGTTAGGTTTTTAAGTCATGTGGTTACATTTTTGAAATGTTATTTGTGTTTATGTGCATTGAATTAATGGAAGCCTTCTTACATTGCAGTTGCAGGCAAAGTTCTTCAATGACTTATTGTCAAGCTTCAGTCTTGTATTTTAATAAGTGCCCCTTTAAGTTCTCATTCAGAGAGATAAATTATTTTGCACGCTGCAGTTACCATGTTGTGATGGTGTGATGATGGCAGTATGTGATGCAGTCTGGGAAGGCATATGTGCAGCATTCTGTGAGACGGCTTACCGCCCACCACCTGAGCTAGGAAGCTAGCAAGGGTTTTATGAAATTTGTCTGAGAAACTGTTGTGAGGGATACTCAAATAATAGTTTATACAGGTGTAAGAAACCCAAAAGGAAACAGACATAAAACTGTTAAAAAGAATGGGAAATGAGTAATGAATTTGCCATATAAGCCTTAATGAACTGTCTGGGTGTAACAATTGCTGCACAACATGAAGCTGTAATTACAAGTGCAGGACTTACAGGAATCTGTACATACTTTAAGAGCCACAGAACCCATCACACTATTCATCACTGCCTTTTGGGGTTTGCTCCTCTGAGGAACAAATCCCTATGGCTGTTTTTGAAGCTTTATTGGCTTTGATAATTGAAATGAAACTTTCAAAGCTTTTAAAAGCAGCTGCAGGGATTTACTTCTCAAAAGCAGTGAATCCAGAAGAGCGGCCACTCCTAGTGATCTCCTGCAGCCACTTTTAGAGCTTTATTTTGGCTTTACATGAAACCTTTTATAGTTTTGAAAGTGGCTGTGGGGTTCACTAGTGGCTACTATCTGGGATCTATGGCTCTTGAGGAGAGAATTCCTTCAGCTGATTTTGAAGTTTTAGAAACTTAGTTTTCACTGTGTGTGGCCAGATTTGTTGTTTGCATAGGACCACACACAAATTTAGTAGTTTGTGCTACTGGGCACTTAAAATAACGACACTGTGAGTTCACGACAAAACTCGATCTTACCATATGTTGCTGTGCCTAGACACACCAGGACTAAGCAAAGGAGGCTGTGACCTTCTCGAGCACATTAGGAAAAAGAAAGTATGTTATGCGAGTCCTCATTCTTCTGTTTTTGTTATGCCTGTTGACAAATGAGATAAAATATATTGTTTCTTCTTACTTTTACCTGAATATGACTTAAACAGACCTTATTTTCTACCTTTAAATCTATTCATATTTAATGATCGCTTTAGTTTTAGGGCACGTTTTTAATGTTTTAGTAAAAGAGAAATTTGTGGTATGTACAGTATTAGGAAACTGCTCGTCTCTCCTTTCTCAGAAGCTAGATCTTTCAAGTTTTCTGTAATATTAATCTCCTTCTCTCTTTTCTGAGTAAGAGCTCTGTCGAGCAACTCAGTAGTGTTCCCCAAAGGCTGTTTCAGAGATTGTGCTTCCATTCACCAGAGTCAGAATATAAACTGCTAAAGTGAGAGCAGATGCTATTCAGTCTTTGGCAGTAACCACCAGCCAAATGCCTCAAAGTTATAGTGAAAGAGGTTTCTTAATATACTGTACGTTCTTATCTCTACTGTAACTTGGCAGTGTTATCATCCAAAGTTTATTTTAAATCTAAATGACTAATATTATTATTGATCCTTTTAAATGGAAGAAGTAACTGAAACATAATTCATGCAAAGATATTCATCCACTTCCCACATGCTTCCTTATCCAATTTTGTATCTAGTCATCTTTGGCTGGTAATCATTGCCATTTGTTCATGTAGGAAGACTGGGCTGTGACTGTTTCAAATTCTTCTTTGATGAAAAATCAAGAGTGGGTATTACTTAGTAGATAATGTATTTCTTTTGCTATTCCATTCAGGATCATAAAACTTTAAACCCTGATCTTTCTACGTGACAGCACAGCACAATGAAACATATGCAAAGAGCTGTAAGGCTTTTCTGTTTCTCTTTTTGGGAAGCTGAGAGGCAGAGGTTGATGTTCTTCATGCATGTGCATGCTGACGTGCATACAAACTCTTAAAACTTTCTAGGTCTTTAACTTTTATTAGTGAAATGGTTAGTATTTCTGTAAAGGACAAGATAAGCCAATTAGACTCTCACAAGTAAATAATGCTGAAAAACGTAGCTTTTTCATGTGGTTTTATGAGAAAGAAACAAAAATAATCTTAATAATTTGTAATTGTCTCACTTTTATTCATTCATAAGATATTTCTTGGTGGGTAAGAATGCTGTATTAATTAGGTTTTAAAAGCTAGTTTTTGACATTGAGTTTCCACTGTTTACCAAAAGGGGCAATATGTTAATGAATAAAACAATATGATCTGGCAGGTTGTTTTAAGCATGACAGTTTTCTCTGGTTTGTAACCATCTTGTGAAAATAGAAATTTCTTGACTTAGGAATTACTTTATTACAGCGTTGTTTCTGATAGCACATAATAATTAGACTGCACTGTATTATGTATTTAATATTAGTGAAAGGTAGCAGGACAATAGTGAAGGATGGGATAAAAGGTGACCCTTTTTATATCGTCTGATAACTAAATCCACGGAAAAAAGGAACAGATAAGTACTTTCATGAGAAGTCTTTTGACTGAGAGTTGGCGACCTCTAGAACCTCCACTAATGGTTCCAAAATACTTTGCTTTATATTTTATCGTCAACAGAGCATGATATCCTCACAAGGTTAGAATCTGCAGCAGCTTAACTCCCACAGCTTTTGTTTTAATTCTGATTTCTTCTACAACCAGATGATGCCATTTTGCTTTTACTTGGCTATCCTTAAAGTACCACAACTTGTGGAGAATCTTAACCATAAATGAACTGTCTTAATGCAATAATAATGAAACATAAGTTTGGCATACTGTATTCTTTGACTTAGATTGTTTTTTTCTCTCTCTCTTTTTCTTCACTTTCAGTGTTGTTCACTCAATTTTTCTACTTTAGTTTTTATTGTTACAGAGCACTGGCTGAATAGAATAATTACAAATGTGACCTTCTAAGAAATGTGGGACTGGTTTGGCCATACTGAATACATTTTAACTGTCTTGTATTTTCAAACTATTTTTATTTAAATATGTATGACAAAAATGTATTGGAGGATCATCAATAATATTTTTATTTCACATTCAAAATTATTTCTACTTCTGCATTAGGAAACACATTTTTTTATAGTATGATTTTACGAAATGCTGTGTTTGTCTGTTGTCTTGCACTGTTACAAACTTCCTTTAGAAAAAAACTTACTACACTGAGAACATAGCATACACCTTCAACATTTCCTATCACAAAATTGGTACTGGATTCTCTTGCTACATCCAAATAGATTTTTAGGCTAGAACACACATAGTGGTGCAGACCAATTATTATGAAGCTTGAAAATGTGCTGATGAATCAAAATTCTCCTAATCTAGTTGTTAAAAGGCCTACAGTCTTCCTTAAAACAGCTCCAGAGGAGCTTGGCTTGATAGAATTAAGCCCCCGTCTCTGTCACTGTAACAGTTGTAGGGTTAGACTCAATGTAATTTATAGGTTTACCTTTCTGTTATTTTACATGTAATATATTTTTTTTAATTCTGTCTGATGAAACATTGATCATTGTTCTGCCTTGATTCTTTCTTTGTTCAGTCACACTTGAATTGCATGTCTGCTATAAAAATGCATGTTAAAACATAAAGAAATAGCTTATGTGTGTTTTCTGTATTCTGGAGTGTATTGAATCTACTATGTGGCATCATAGTGGCAGCCCAGTTGTGTGCATAAGTGTATATTTTTTATAAATAATTTGAATACTCTAGAGGGCATTTTATGTTGCTAAACCATCTGAAAACTGATTGGAATATCCTTCATGGAACCAGGCCAGTAGATTTCATAGCCTCTATTTAAAGCACTTGTTATTAGTTTAAGAGTCTTTCTGTCATCCCTGTTTCATCTGTTTGTTTGTCAACAGTTGTATTCATGTTTGAATGAGATGAAACTGTACTATTGATGATTGCTCTTTCATATACAGAGCAGCTGTAACATAAAAGTACACTTATTTCTCTGGTTGGTTTACTTTAGAGGGTTTTTATAGCTGCTTAGATTACAGTTGTCATGGGTTCTGAAATTCTGAGCTATCAGATTGCCT